TTGTTGTGCACGTAAAAATACAAGTCAAAAGATTTAAAATGAAGGAAATAGTAGCAGTTTCATCGAGCTGAGTTGCACATGCGCAAAGCTCAATCAAAAATCTACCGGAAACTCGAGGTTTTGAGGGATTTCTTTGATTTACTAATCAGCAAATATTATTATATTTTGTTTTTGGACACTTTGAACTTTTGCTTTTAGCTTTAGCGAGATTGCAAAAATAAATTTGTACGAATTCGCGTTGACCCAGAAACTTTTTGACTTGCATTTCCGCAGTGCTCGCATAAACGTGTTATCGATTACTTGTCACCTGTTGGATTAAACAACGAATATTTGAATATCAATAATCATAAACGAAGTTCTGCCTGTGACTGGATATCCAATAAAAGGCTGCAATCACAGCAGAGAGCCACAAACTCCCCACTTGCCTTCCACTCCTGTTCTCTGCGAGCATTCACCACGAACTCATTTGGACTGCGTCTCAAGCTCCAATCGTACAGCTGCCATCGGAACTATTGGTTTGCGATAATACCGAAAGAAAGAGCTGGTACAATGCGCAATGTCAACCTACAGTAGAAAAGAGAATCGAGAATACGTGCCGAGACAGTCAGAGAGGACAGCAAGAAGCAGTTGAGAGAAATAGGAAGGAGGCGCTGAAATGTAAAAAGAAACAGAGAACATCCCCAACAGCAGTAATGTTTGAAAACTTTTGGAAGAAATGGGGCAACTTATAGATGATAAGTCTAAATAATATCAGGGAAAAACAAAAATATGGCCAACCTAGATTCCCAATCGGTTGCGTTGATACAGAAGTTCTATCGCCCAGCAGAAGAGAGAATATTAATTTATGCTCTCCCCAATCCATAAGAAGGAAGGTCCAACGGTGTACGCAATTCATCGTGCCAAGCTCCTATTGTTGTTGTTGTAACCGCAAAACATTGTGGGAGTGGCAGTCCTTGGCCGGATAAAAAACTCGGGTCGTTCCGGTATAAAGACCCGAATGTCGCGGGAACTATTGGATTGTGCCCCTAACACGCAGGCTTCAAGCTCCTCCTTCTTCGTGGTGTACTACATGATGTTTTTCAAATACGGTAGCAAGTAGCAAGAACACTTCAACTTTGTTAGAAAGATGATATGGAGATGGATGAGAAGGACTTGACAACATCTTATTTCTTCAATTGGCCATGAAGTACAAAAAGGAGCAACGACTTGCGCGCCATAATTAATTCAACTTTAATCGTGCAAGCGTTGTCTACGCCAGACGTTTTTTCGATTGAGCTTGCTCTTGATTTATTATTCGGAATATCAACAAAGCTTGAATTCATGAACAGCCACTTGATTGTTATAAAGAAGTCTCTCAGTAAACTTTTTAATAATCTCGGTACGCGAAGAATGCTCGGAACGAATGGAGGTAAACCTACATTCAAGCCGAAGTGAATTAATCTTCTGCTTTACTACCATGGAAACCGTTACGCGGTTGGCAAAAATTCGCCATTCCTTCCATCTTTTCGCTGTTTGACGCCAATTGAAAACACCAAGTATTGTCAAGTCTATTTCCACTTAATCTTTCCATCGAGGTGGCTTTCTTCCTCTACCTCTGGTTCCTCGAACGGAACTGCCAGCTGACTCTTCATTCAATGAACAGTGTCAAATATTCTAACGTCGAATCTACATCATAAAGCAGGACTAGAGCGATGAGTGCCCAGAAGAATTTTGTACTTGTTCGTCGAGAGGACTTGGCAAGAGTGACTCTGCGCCGGATTTCTAGGCTGATATGGTTGTTGGTGTTGATACAGGTTTCCAGATAGACTAATTTATCTTCAACGTAAAAATTATGACTGTCAACAATGACGTGGGAGCCGAGTGGTGAATGCAATGATACGTGTAGTTTGTTAGCTGATAGAAAGAATTTAGTGTTGTACTCTCTTATTACTAGAGCCACACACTTTTCATCTTTATCACTCTTATATTTACAAGATTAGCTTAGTAGCTTTCCTATTCAGCTCCTCAGGTCGTGTTAATTTCTCAAGCAATGATTACAGAAGTCACACAGTAAGGTGTCACCCTGTCTGAAACCTGATCCTGACGGAACCGAGGAGAATTACAAACATGGGAATTTTCTGTGTGAACTAGTGATTGAAAACGTATCAGATAGCCATCTTCAACCAAAGCTTTTGTGAAATCAATTTTATTTAAGAAATAAAATATAAAAGTTTTTATTAAAACATATGTATGGTCAAAAAAAGTGTTAAAATTGAACTATCTCGCTGTGCCAATACTTTAGTTCATCACTGTACATAGATACACCCATCTATAGTTATTATTTAAACAAATTTTATGACTTTCTATTCAATCTATTCTTAATTGATCAAGTCCAAACTTTTTAATGCAACAAAATGTGTTTATTCTTCTTACTTTCAGTCTTTCTCTACGTAAGCCTTAGGACATTGTCCCAAAACTTTTGTATAGCATCATAACCACAGACTGGCGTAATCTTACTCTACCATATTCAATTAATTTCATTAAAAAATACATTCTAACTTATAAGACCCCATAATTTCAATCAAATTAACTCTGATACTCTTTTAAATCCATGATAACAGTGTACATACATACATACATACATACATACATTTAAATATATATAGGAAACACGCAATTCTGCGTACAAAATATAAAGTATGCTTGCATACATACATGATGAAATACGCATACTGGTACATTCATAAAATACATACATTAACAATATAATATCGAAACAAAAACAAATTTAAAACACTCGCAAAACATGCACGCAATTTTCTAACAAAACTTTCTCACACACTCTGGGTCAAGTTCAGTTATTGTACGCAGTTCATGAATAATGAAAAAAAATAAAAACAAAACGAGACAAATGCGAAATGAACACCATTTGCGAACAAAATTATAGTAATACAAGAATTTAAGGAAAAGTGATGCGTAATTATGTGGCTGCAACCACGTATCGGACACAGAACAAATCAGAGCGACGGCAACGAAACTGACAGACAACTTCTTGGCAAAAAAAATCACATTTTTATATAACACATATGAACACACATGATTCGACATCCTGCATCCTTGCTTTTGACCGTATGCAAGAAAAGTTGGTTGTAGATTTTTGGCACATTTTTTTGTTATCATCTTATAATTAGCAGTATTATTATGGCCAATTTTGTTCAACATGGATTTTCAGGATCCTCATGCAACTTTTACACATTTATTTTTTAAACGTTATTTATTTAAACGAAATAAAAATAAAGTTTAGAATCTGTAGAATGAACTCAGCTGGCATAAAGTGGCACACACAATGTTCATATAATATTTATATAATATGTAAGAAATTTTTTATGTAAATTAATTTTAACTGTAAAGGTATTTTTGATCACTCACATCCCTAACTTACTAAACTGCTAAATTTTCACATGTATGTACAAGCATATACATATGTATATGTGCATAATAAATTTTTTGTAAGCTCGTTAGTATGTACATATGTATGTACACGTATGTATGTACATATATAGGTGCAGCATATTTATATACATATAACCCTTAAAAGCTGTGAGCAACATAATCAACAGCCACACTCCAGACTATAAGGCCGAGAAGAATAATCAACATCAACGATGCATAAAATTCACATTACGGAACAATTTAGAATTTTAACAATGTTATGAAGTTATTTTGTGTGAAAAATGTAAACTTTCGTAATAACTGCAATTTTTCTTCCTCATGGAGACGTCCAAGAACTTCGCACATGCATATGTGTGTACTAATGTGTATGCAGGCTGGTACTAGTAAATAATTAATTTCACTTTTCAGCCGTCGCGTTAGTAAAATTAATTTCCTAATCAGGCGCGCACGTCAATTCCCTGTGCTGAAATGCATTGCTGCGGGAAATACAGACGTTAAATTATGTTAGTATATATGTACATATACATATATATGTATACACCACAACAACGCTTGTAACAATGTATGCAGTTGAGAGATTGGTTGATCAACTAAAAGTGTTAAATGAGTTTACTCGCCTATTTTAAAGAGATGCCTACTTATCTGAAAAAATGTTGTCGAAAGTGTTACATGTATTTATGTTACTATTTTATGTAATAAAGTATCCTCAAAGGCACTTTGAAATATAAATATTATCATTATTATAATAATTTTTCTGTAATCATAGATTTACCACAGGATGTAGGGGCTTAACCGCTTTACCAAATGCACTGCACTACCGACAATAAGTTAATACGATATGACATTCATATACATACATATGTATGCAAAACATTTACTAAGCAATAAGCAATTATATAACGAATTTGTTGTTTTATGTAATCATGTTGATAAAATATTTAGGCACCAATATTTAATTCCGCAAATCTGCATTCAAATTCCTTTTTATATTCACTAGACTTCATGATTGCATGTATGGAGGAAACGGATATTTCGCAATCGGAAGAAATGCTTTCCATCTTTCCACATAATTTTCAAAACGCTTATAAAAACGAATTTCACAGCTTCATTACAATTAGCACAACCGAAAACACTTTTTTTTAACTATTATTACACTTCTAGTAACAATTTTTTAGCAATTTAATTCTGAGCAAATATGTTTTCTAAGTATCACGAATAACTGTTTCCGAGCAAAATGGTAGCAAACTGCGTTGCTTACAAATAACGTCACAACAGGCGGAAGTCACGCCTGGCCACGCTTAGCGTCATCTATGAGTAACTTTTTTATTTACAATGGCTAAGCAGATTATAAAAAAAATCAGTAAATACATTTTTAACTGGCAGAGAAACTCTATTTTAAATAATTTGCTATTATTATTATTAATGTGTTAATTCATAAGTTCATAATTCAATCACTGTAACCAAAGAACGTATATTAATATGCGTTCTTTGATTTAACGTATCTACCGTGAATGGCTTTGCAGACATATGGTGCAAAGAAGCAGCAACAACGTGACTTGACAGTTCATATTTTGACATTTTTATTGAACCAGCAAGAAAACAAAGTAAATTATTTCGGAAACATTCTGCGCGCTTTCAATTTTATAATTTATCAAAACTCAATAACGCGGATTTATCGTATCAGATATTATATATAATGGATGCTGCAAGGAAATCCCATGAAATACAATTACAAGTGCGTAACAATGCGGAGGAGGTAAAAAACACCCTCAACGATCTGTATAGTTGGGAGCAGGATATGAAGGCCAAAGAAAAAGAACTTTTGCAGCGACCTGCTTTTGTAAAGAAAGAAGTGGTGAATTAAATTCTCGGTAATAATAATTTTTTTTATTAACATATATTTTTTCATCTCATATAAAACAGGAGAATGTGCCTATAAGAAGTCATATACTAGCAGAGGAACAATTAACCAAAGCAGGTAGCAATATACAAAGAGAGCAGCAGCAGTCCGTTGCTAAGGAAAATGAAAACTCACCAACCAGTTCCAGTGGTAATATATTAAAAACACATATTAATAATTTATATGCCATTTTCACATATGCAAATTTCATCAACAAATTTAGCTACAACTCCAACGGAGAAAACAGAAGAACCGCTTAATGCCAACGAGGAAAAACGTAAACGAGCTAATGAAGTAAAGGATAGGGGCAATAAATGTGTAAAACTAGGTGAATATGAAAAAGCCATATATGAATACACAACTGCCATTGACATATTCCCCGAGGATCCGGTGTTCTTCAGTAATCGCGCGCTATGCTACCTTAAAATGGAAAGGTTAGTTACAATTGAGCTATGATAAACCGTCCATAATAAATTTGTGCTTCTTTGCATAGATATAATGAGTGCATTGAAGACTGCGAACATGCCATAGAAATCGATAATTTAGCCGTTAAAGCGTACTATAGACGCATGCAGGCCAATGAATGTCTAGGGAACGACATGGATGCACTTAAAGATTGCACTACAGTACTTATGATAGAACCCAAAAATAGTGAAGCGAATAAAAGCTTGGAGCGTATCAATGAAAGGCTACGTAAAAATGGTAAGTAGTGGCATGTAACATAATAAAAATTATGTTTATTTAAAATAATATATTGTATTCTTTTTGTTTAATTTCAGTGAAAGCAAAGGGTCCCAATTTCAGTGTAACACGTGATAATATGATCGATATTTTGGCCATCGATAAGCCACCATATAAACGCTCAAATAAGCCTTTACGTCGTATACCCATAGCAGATGTGATTGGCCCAAAAGATATGAAAAGTTGTGAGAACCCGAACTTGAAAATCTCCGATGAAGATATAGATAAATTATTTAATAGTAATTGCGGCCCGTTTGTCGAAGTTAAACATTCAAATAATATAGCGCATAGTAAATCGGCCAACGCTAACAAAACTGTGAGTGATGTCAAAACCGAAGCGAATGCGCGTGTTGGAAATTCAAGAGCCGAAAATAACCAAAACACCTCAAAAAGTGTAGAAGTCGGTGAAAGTAGTCTAAAGGCTGGTACGGATGTGCTCTTGTTGAATGGAAATGTAAGCGCAATTTTTTCATTCTTCTCGGCGATTATAGCAATAATTACCAAATTCCTAGATGTCATTAAAGAAAGTAGCCAAAATTTGTTCAGACGAAACAAACAACAAACCAAGTCATAATAAGTTTAACTAATAATTTATTATTTAATTTAATTTAATTTATTAGCAAATATATAGTATTTCAAATGGGAACACTGAATCATGGGCCATTTAGTTTATTAGTCGTGCCAAGTATACAAATTAGTTTAATAGAATTTCTAAATGTTTTTTTTTACCTACAAACGTACTTACTTACATACCTGTTTAATGCCAAAAAAAAAAAATCAATTTAGGGCGATCAAGACGTTTAGTGCGCAAAATACTTGTACGCTGAAGATTTTCCATTTATTTAGATTACAATTATCTATACAGTTATTACAATGAAAGCACGGCACTAAGAGAAAAATATTTTTTTTTTTTCCAAAAATCAAATGAGAATTGGTTAAAGTAGTAGATAGTTGTTTGTACTTTGTATGACAGCAAAATAATAAGTAGTATTATGGAATTAGCTTATGCACTGGTGATTTGTTTTATGTCTTCATAGCATCTAAAAACCCAATAAACTGTCTTCAAATGAAAATGTGTGTTTGTACTTAATATGTGTGTGAAAGATTTTGTGTACCCTTGTCGTTTTATCCTGAAATGATTGAAATTCGTTCTTCAGTTGCATATATGAATAATTTAAGCGCAATACCTCTTTTATGAAAACGAAATAACTTTCGTATTAAATATATTAATTTTGATTTTTATTAACTTAAAACTCTTTTATTTCTTCTTGCTTCAGCGTCCTTTGCCGCCTCCACCCAAATCTACAGCACAGTTCTATTCAAACTGGAAAGAGTTGACGCCTGCGCAGAAGTACGACTACTTAAAGGTATTCTTAAAGACAGACACATATTATGAAATGTTTTCCATTATTCTCGCTCTGCTCATTTACAGAGTATCGAAGTGACGCAAATACGTAAAACACTAGGCGCAGGTTTTGACTCCGACACGCTGACGGATCTACTTTACACCCTGCGCGACTTCTACACAGTGAATAAGGATAAAGCTACCGCAGCCACGCTACTCGAAATTAGCAAAAATAATCGAGTTGCAATATTATCATTACTCATGTCGGCAGAAGAGCGTAAAAGTTAGTAAAACAAAATATTCTAAATAAATTTTAGAAAATTTTAAATATTTAAATTTTTACATTTTTCCTTACAGTTGTCAACGATATTGTCGATACGATTAAGGAGAGCAAAGAAAATGATACTTTGGCTGCGCAGATAATAAAAAACTTCAATTTAGATTAAATTGCGTTACTCTAATTATATTATTGCGTTAGTATTTATGATTTTGTGCAACAAATTGAAAAATAGAATTACAAATTCTTCCCCCTGCAGTGCAAATGTAAACATAACAACAGATATATTGAACTAAAAACTCAGAGCCTATCAATAAAATTGTTGCAAATCCAATGATATTAAAAAAAATATGTATGTATATATAAGTTTTGGGGAAATATTTACTAGGAGGTTCGGCTAATTAATTATTCCAAAATTTGATTTCCTTTATTTGATGAGCTCAATATTTTGATGTTGAAGCAGATTTTTCCTTCTGGAAAAATTTTCTGCTTAATAAAAATACTGAGGATCTTGAACACCTCATGAATGTTTTCTATAAAAGATAGACTTCTGACATATACACACATACACAAATATCTAAAGAGAAAGAAATCTAATTTGTGAACTTTGGAAGACAAACTCCAAAGCGAGAACCGGCGCTTACAGCTTCAATCCGAGCACAGCCATTAAATTGAATTAAATTTCATGCTACAACTTCTGATGGAGATTATGTACACATGATCCATTTGTTCAAAACAAGAAGTGTCCCACGGAAAACGAGACTCCTAAAAATTTTTTTACGTTAATACTATGCTGATTTAGCTTATCAATTATAATGTCTTAACATTGTATTACATATATATGTACGTTGAGATCTACATACGTATGTATATTCCTGATTTTTTGACAAAAAAATTACCCATGCGTTGCATCGATGAGACGAATTTCATGCAATCTATTTTGAACAGTAAAAACCATTCTAGTGTAAAGCTTAATATTACTTTTTGTTGTTGTTGTGGCCAAGAAACAACCTACATATATCGACGGGTTTGTAACAGAGTAGGAGAAGTAGTAGTAGTGCTTAAAGGTGGTGGGGAGACACAGTGCAACCGAGGCATACATGTCGGATAGGTCTTGGTCGAGTCTAGATAGGTAGGAGTTGAGTATTCTACAGTGTCCAGAATTGAATTGCGCTAGTACAATTATACGAATGGAATTTCTACGACGCATTCACAGGAAGAGAGCCAATAAAGAAGTTGACGAGCTCTTGTTGTGGCATCCGCAAAAATATTTCCCCAATTTTGTTTCAAAGACCGTCTTTGGTCGGATCATATACCAGATAGTTCCTTGAAGAGACGCCACTGTCATGGTAACTATTAAACTTCAGTTGCCTCTTCCTCAGAAACACCTTACGTAAGGGAAATCCTTGAACCCTTATGCCGATGCTGAGTTCGGTGCCCTGGAGGTGGTTCGGCTTCTAGTGGGTGAACGAAAAGAGAATTCCTACGGTAGTATTCCAAGGATATAGCTGGCCCAGCATTCCATTGTGCTCTTAAAGTAGGATATGGATGATTCACTGTACAAACGCTGCTGTGTCCGCTCATGGTACTTTAGGCGCTGTTTAATGGACTTGTAGCTTCTGGCTGGTCGGCGCAAGGTGCCGTTGACCGTAGGGTGTAGTTTTCAAGCCACATTACTTTGCTTATGCAGGCGGCTAGCATCTTTCGCTAGTGAAGATGGTCATGCAGTTGTAAGTATCATGCAGTGAAGAGTGTCTCTTCAAGGAACTATCTTTCAAGCTCCTTTTTCAGCCAATGTCAGTTTCAATGCATGACTTGGGTTATACCGGAACAAAGTTCACAAAAAGTTGGTTGCATTACGGTGAAGAAGAGATGTTTCCGTTTTCCGTGGGACTCTCCTTGTACCTAAATAATATTTATGTAAGTTGCCAAGTTTGGTGACAGTGTGCACCACTTCGCTCACAATAACAACTTCAATGAAATGATAATCAGTTAAATTGTTTATCAGATTAATTTCAACATTGTAATAATGGGGGTGGATATGCTCATATACTTGCATGTGCATTCATACGTACATATGTAACCGGCCCTATTGTAAAGTCTGTTGGTGACTAGTCAGCAGACGTCGCACGAGTGCCGAGGCAAGTGGCCATGTGTAAACCAAATCATTCTCATGAACTTCATTTACGAGTCAATAAATACTAATAGAGTGCTTTAACGAGGACCAATACACATACGTGTACATATAAACATATGTATGTGCATATGTACATTTTGTGGGTAAGATCATTCTGCGAACGAGAGTTATGGAAATCAGTGTTGAAGAAACGCTAGTTAAACTGATTAAACTCTAAACCATTAACAGATATTCAAATGCTCTGTGGATGCCATTGCTGACGCTGAAGAGAGCTGCGCGCATTGCTTAGTTGGCTGACCATTAGCGGGTGGTGTGCAATACGAACATGGAATGCTCTCGCTGAGCTTAACGAAATTTGAAGCCGGGCTAACTATGGCCCGCTCCCAGCTCTACTAACAGTGCGAAAGGTGTGAGCGTTCATTAATACCTGCTTGTGGTCGGTTCTCAGTAATGTCGTATGTGTCTTTTGTTTTTGCCTCACGACCGCACTTTACGCGAATAACGCACATTTCTCTCACTGTTTGCTTCATTAGCGCTCACTAAAGCAGGCAACTGCTTGTAAACTTGGTCTAGCCGTCAACTTTAAACCTCAGTCACTCGTACAAGCGGCCAAACAATGCGGTTTAATGCCAGTAGTTATGATAGCGACTCAGTTGCGCACAATACGCTGACCGATTTGGATAAACTCACGCTCCCCAGCTCGTTTGTTTCTCGTGCGGCAAAAAAGCTAGCCAAAGCCGTCGCGCATCGCTCAGCCGCTAAACACAACTCAGTTTCAATCGCAGTCAGAGCGAAGCGTTTATAACGAACAATAGTAGTGGCAGTCGCAGTCGCGAAACTCGATAAATTTTCATTGAATTCTACGGATTTCTTTCTTTCCGTTGCCGTTGCTGCGCATCTCATCCCACTCTCCGCCCCTTCGGTTTTGTGATTATCGGCGGTCATAATTGCGATTGTAATATTGTGTTTTTCTTATTTTTTGTTGTGTTGTGTTGTTTGTTGTAATCCAGTGTTTTTCTATTTGCATCAACTCAGCCGGAAAAAAACTTCATTCGCACTCGTGCATTTAGTAGATATCAGAAGAAAAAGCAAATCGGATATTTGCGTATCGCCAGCCCGCGACGGAGTTCGATTGTGCGTATGTGCATACATATGTACATACACACTCGTACATATGCACATACAATGGCTTTGCGAATTTCATAATTTTTTTCTGTTTTTGTGCTAACAAATTTGGTGCTGATTCTGTGCGAAAGCGTTTGATTCACCGCCCACACCGATCAAGCAACTTCCATATGCATCGTTAAATACTCATACATACATACATACTACATAAACATATATACAATATAATATTTGTATATATTGTACACATAAGAATGTAAACAGCCAGACGCTGAGATAAGGAAAATTGCGCGTAAAATCAAAACAATTCCGTTAAAAATACTGTGAAAACTGTTAAACAGAACAGAGTAAAAAAACTCCATAATTAAAAAAAAAATTCTAAAAATTGAGTTCTATATACATTCATACATATGTACATATATACGAGTCACAACAAGTCACAACTGGGATTAGTTGAAAGCGGATTTATATGAAAAGTGGATAATCAAAGTAAAAGGTGATAAAAATTAAAATTAAACACAACCGTTAGGTATAAATTTTTTTAATATTTTTATAACTGTTTAACTTTTAAAAATACCATACATTTTTAGTAATTTGCAGTTCACTTCCAAAAAGGTTTGCCCCTGCTTAGTGATTCCTTTGTAAAGCAATTTTTTTTAACGGTTGAAGAAAAATATGATCTTGTCTGTTATTTCAATATTCAATAAAACCTCTAAGTCAAGCCATCGCGTTGGCCTAAATTTAGTGAAAAACAACTAGAATTCGATAATTTATAACAGCTGTAATTTAGGCCGCAAAACAGCTGGTGCGATGAGGACTGTCCTGTCGCAGTGGAGGGAAAACAGACTGCTGAGGAGGGTGGCAAGACGCATCTGCAGACGAAAAAAAGAAGAGATGCCAGAGTACGAAGAGCTCGAGAAGCTGACCGACAAGCGAAGTGCTCGAAATTCTATGAAAAGATACGGCGACGTACAGAAGGTTTCAAGACCGGAGCAGACTCTTGTAGGACACAAAGAGAATATATACTGACGGAAGCCCAAAGTATACTGAATTTTTGGAGGGAACACTTCCCCAGCCTGTTGAATGGCAGTGAAAATGGAATATGCGGAGATGGTGAACCCGAAAACCCAAACGATGACAATGAAAATGACGTTCTATTACCTGATCATGACGAAGTTAGAATATCAATCGCCCGCTTAAAAAACAACAAAGCGACGGGAACTGACCAACTACCGGCAGAGCTCTTCGAACATGGCGATGAAGCGCTGACAAGGTACATGCATCGGCTACTTAGCAGAATACGGTCGGACGAAAGCATGCCCGACGATTGGAATTGGAGTATGCTCTGCTCAATTCATAAAAAAGGGCGAACCCACACTCTGCGCCAATTACCGTGGGATAAGTCTCCTTAATATCGCCTTTAAGGGACTGTCGAGCGTATTGTGTGAAAGACTGAAGCCCACCGTCAACTAACTGATTGGACCTTATCAGTGTGGCTTCAGATCTGGTAAGTCAACCATTGACGAGATATTCACCATGCGCCAGATCTTGGAAAAGACTCGTAAAAAGAGGACCGACACCCTCCACCTCTTCGTCGATTTTAAAGCCGCCTTCTACAGCACGTATACAAGCTGCCTTTACGCCGTGCGACTTTTTTAACTTATTGCTGGAGAAAATGATACGAACTGCACAGCTGAATAGCGAAGGTACAATATTTTATTAGAGTGTACATCCGTTGGCGTACCTCGATGATATTGACTTTATTGGCTTCGACAACCGTGACGTGAGTTCTGCTCTCTCCAGACTGTATGAAGAAGCGAAGGATATGAGTCTAGTAGGGAACGAGGGCAAGACGAAATAGCTGCTGTCATCACACATCGCACCACGTCACTGTCATCACACCACGTCACTGCTGACAGTCATAACTTTGAAATCGTAGATAACTTCGTCTATCTTGGAACCATTACTAGCACCAACAGCAATGTCAGCCTGAAAATCCAACACAGAACAATTGAAAAGTAAAGTAAGATTTTACCGAAAACGGCGAATACCGCAGCCGATGTAACCTGCGTAGGTTCCGCGA